GGATTATCAATTAATTTTTAAAAGCAAAGCCACTTATAATAATATTCTAATGCTTTTATTTTATATTTTTTATTTCCTTTTTTATTTTATAACCATTGTTGAGTAGTCGACTCAATTTTGGGTTTACAACTACTAATGTTCACCTCCTTTGTCTTGAAGTTTCGAACCAAATCCAGAAGACAAGGGGACTCCTGTATAAAGTATTGAGAGAAATTTGCCTTCCTCTAGGACTTGATGATGGAACTAAGCCGCATTTGCGTGTCATGGAGAGGAAAACAACGAGAACCTCACACGGTTAGCCTGACGGCAAGGGGACTATAACCCATGATACGCCTACCACTGAGGATATTTCATGGCAGCACTGAGGTCGGTGCAAGCCGGATGAAGAATTCGTATCGACCAACCATCGGTGGAAATCGATCCCGGTTCACCTCATTGGAATGCTTTTTCCCCTGAGACACTGCGACTCTTTATATTTATGAGTAAGAAATGGCTTTAAAATTGCATGAAGAATATGAACGGAAATATCCATTCCGAATTCATTCTCATTAGAATGTATTTACAAAGTGCCTATTAAAACTGAAGCAAAAAAAAAAGAAAAAAGGCCGATTGGAGGTCACGAACTAATATTTGAATTGAGAAAAATATGGAAACGCATCAGAGCTTGAGTCGACACCGTTGTCTACTTTCTTGTTTTCCACTCGTTTTTTTTTCCAAGTTCGATAAACCTACAAGTTCCTTTTTTCTTCGTTTTTCGAAAAGATTCTATAAGTATATATTAAGAGTGTAAGTTAGCGTGCAATTTTAAACGTATAAATTAACATTCTCAAGAAACATCATAGTAAAATTTTAAATATTTATGTTCTTCGGTGCATGAAACGTGTGGTGTTTAACATCTGGATAATTATTTCTTGTTTTTTATTTTATTTATTTATTTATTTTATATTTTCAGGCAATAGTGTGAAAAATATTTTCTGGGTAATAATACATTCTGGTAATAAAATCCAAAACATCAGTCAGTATAGTAATATTTATCTAATACAGTATTACATAGTATTGCGACTGTCAACACATTGTCAATACTATTTTCAATAAAAGAATTAAAAAAAATTTTTTAATAAATTTATTGTTATTTTTATTAGTACAGTAAACTTGTACTTGTTATTCATGAGCTAGTGTCGATTTATTTTTGTAGACTTATTGTGTAAACCAATAGACTTGTTCTCTGGAAAAATGTATGCACAGGATTTTTTTCATACAAGCTTTCTAATGTTATTATAAATGATATCTGGAATTTTTCATACTTTCCTTTGTAAAAGCATTCTTTTGTAAAAGCAAGTGAGGCATTGTTTTCAGAAAATTTTTCACGCTGAATTTAATAAGAAAAATGACGAGATGATCGGATGAATAGTTTAGAGGTTAAATGTACCAAATTACAATTTTGTACTTGTACCTGCTTACGCTTTCTGACGTTGCTAATTAAGCAAGTGAATCATGGTTTCATATGCATTAGAACAATGAGTCAAATTTAACTATACTCAAGTAAACAAAATAGTTAAAAATTTATTAGTTTTTTTATCGATAAAAAATACTTCTTTTGCGACGTACACACACTCATTATTATCCAAGGTCTATTGGAATATGCACCGTATATTTTTCTGTACGATTATTCATGTTGAATTTAATGAGACAACATTGGAATCGATAAGATAAATAGCTAAGAAGTTGTATGGCTGTTGCTTACAAAAAGTAAAATTTTATGCTTACACTTACTTAAGCATCTTACGTTACTTTACAGACAGGTGAAGTTCTCTGTGCATTTTTCTTACTTATTCCGATGAAACTAAACACGAATTGAAAATGCTAATGTTTTAAAAGTTGAAATAGGTTATTTCGTATAAAAGAACTACTATTGAATTGAACTTACTCTGAGAAAAAAAAGTATGGTCAAAACTACCAGATAATGTAACATCTATTATGTTTCTGGCACTCTGGGAATAATTACTCACTAAACTCGAACTCACTAAAAAAATTCGGTAATTCTTATTTAAGCGCTTTTGTAATGATTTTGATAAAAGTAATGATAAAATATGGTTTTATAATATACAATAAAATTTGGAAAATGTGGTAAAATGTGATAATTTTATCATGATATCTTAGAGCATGACATAGAAACCAATTATTCAGTTGCAATTTTTATTTTTACTAAATATATATTATTATTTTATATTTATTATATTATTATAATATATTATTATATTATTATTATTTTATTATTGATTTATATTTCTTACTAAATGTGTGGAAATAAGAAATATATTTTAAAAAATCAGTATTTCTGCTAAACCGTTACCTTAGGAACCAAATAAATTAACAACTAGAGTTTTAAATACTGTATAATTTTGTCTTATTTACCAGATTTATAATTTTTTTTTGCAAAAACGTCCTTGCCATAGAGTGCTATAGCTTTATCAGATATTTTTCCCCAGTGTATTTTGTCTAAAACCCTTATAACTTCAAAACTATGAATTTTATCTACTCAAATTTTAACTTATTCAATTTAGTAAAAGGAAATTCTCATCGGAAAATGTATCATAACTGTTCAGATTGGTCCTAGTTTTCGAAGTAAAAAGTGTATATAAGTCATGTGAAAAGTAATGCTACTTATACGTCAAAACACTTTTTAACTATACGTTTTATTGACTCCTGTATTGTCGCATTCGATTTAACGTGGAAAAATACATTGGACACAATATATCACTTGTTTAAGTAACAACAGATGTATAAATAGTCACAAGTACAAATTTGTACTTTTTCTTCATTAACACGTATACGAGTATCTTCTGAACTTTTAGTCCGATTGCATCCAGATTAGTTTAATTCATTTTAGCGTAAAATTATATATTAATTATATATTTCTTATTTAACACAAGGACAGGCATGAAGCCATGTAGCACATAAATAAACTAATCACGCATCGAAGTTGCCAGGTACACAAAACAAAAACATTATATGTTTACAATAAAATATGTAAATAAATAGTAAATCTAAAATAAGTAAAACACGTAGACGAGAAAAAAATTCTATTTCAGTAAATTCGATCTGTGATACGGAGCTATATATGTGGAGACACGCAATTTTGCTTATAAACGAGCAGCTAGAGCTGACGTAATAGGACACACGTGTGGGTATTGTTGATCTTCTTCTTCTTGAAGTGCAAATACCCAATTAATTCCAACTGGGCTATGTGATTTATTAAAATCAAATAATAGAGTATAATGATTTTAGACTTGCATTAGCGTACACATTAGCTGAAAGCTTATTATAGTTCCAAGTGGAGTCTTACTGACCTGCATACTAATCATTTATAAACAAACTTTTTACGATTAATTGGTTCAATTTTATCAGGGGAATTTAGAGAACTGATATCATAGCCGTAGAAAATATTATGTGAATATAATAAACGTTGAATATTTTCTGAGGTATCTTCGTATACCATACAGCACGTTTTTACTCAGTATTGCTCAACTTTAAAATTCCCTTTTAGAAAAATTTTTAAACTCTGCTCTCTTTTTAGCATTTTTTATAGGTTTTGAAAAAGGGAAGAAAAAGTTTTTAAAGACTAAGTTATAGTATAGAGTTAGATTCATCTCTAGAGCCTCTTGCCGAGCTAAAACTTTTTTTCACGGTGACGTAATATATAACTGACTAGGCACTATTGTGCCCAAGAAAGTCTGCAGCCATTTTGTAACAAATTCCATCTATGAATTATTTTTCGAAACCAAGCAAGAGTATATCTCTAACAAAATTTTCTTATTCTCAAAACTAAGTAAAAATTAAAGAGAATGATGATTGAAGAAAACTGTTAAATAAGAATTGACGAACATTACGAAAGTGTTGTTTGAAAATTCTTTCTGAAAATTTAGTGCATTAAATAATAATATATTAAAATAGCGGCTATAATAGTAATAGATTTAAAATAGTAATAGATTTATAATTGTAAAAGACTTATAATAGTAATAGATATTTAATAATATTAATTTCATATTAGTAATAAATTTAAAATAGCGGTTTAAACCCATTTCTTAAATAACGTGATAAGTGGCTGGATACCGCTTAAAAAAACTAGCTACCAATCCATTAAAAATAGAATCTTTCTATACGAATTTTTTTCGAAAACGAGATTTTGCCTGAACTGTTATCTGAAAAGTTTCCTTTATTAAAAATTTCCTGACCTAAAGAAAAAAAAACTGAAAATAACAAGCATTGAAGGCTGCACATTGAATACGTAGCATATGTGAAGAAAACCATAGAATCAGAACTGAAGAGCATTTCAAAAGTACAATTTAAAAATTCATTTCGAAATTTTTTCTTAATTTTAATGTACAAGCAAAAATTAAGAGTATTTTGATAAATATTAGAGATATATGTTATTTTTGAAACATTAGAAAAACCCTGGATATTAACAGCTGGGCCTAGTATAGCATCAAAAATAATTAGCTATACTTTGTTATTTAAGATAAAATGGAAGAAAAAAATGTTTCAAATGTTTTAAATGAATTGACAACCATTTCCTATTTATATGTAATCGGTTTACATAGAATTTCCAGTCATTAACTATATTACACTATTCCATGTAATCCATAGTAACTCGCAAATATTAGTTAATATTATATTCAACGGCTATAATGAGTTTAATGTATTAATTCCTGTATTCCTATCGTGTATGGCTTAGCTTTCCATTTTGAACGGGGGCTGGTAATATGTTACGCTTTGTCAAATATGATTTCGATGACATTGAACAAGATGATAAAAGGCAAAACCGTTTTGAAAATTCTTAATCTTTTCAGAAAAATGCTCTTTGTTTAAAAGAACATTCGATTTTGCAAAAACACCATACTTATTTTATTAAAACATAATTTGAATGAACTATTTATTATTTTTCATCATATAGAAAATATATATTATCATGCTATTAATGAAAAAGGAAATCAACTTACAATTCAAATCCACAGAAATTGAACTTTTCATTGGTGACGATACGTTGTTGTTTGAAGCCTGGCACGTGAATTCTGCCATTAGATCTTTCCTCGTCAAACTGTCTATTTGTAACTCATTCCTGACGATATGTGTAGATGTAACTTCGAATGTATCGTCTATGAGAAGTGGGCCCCTCCACCAAGTCAATACTGGTGTAGGTTTTCCTACAGTAAAAAAAAAACATATAATTGGAGAGAAATAAAGAAGTACATTTTAATCAGATTAGTTAAACATATGAAGGCTTAATTTGTTTGTCCAATCAATTAAAAAACAAATTGAGTAATATTTTCCGTTTGTTTGTAAAAATAATATTTTATCTTTAAAACGTTAGGGGAGAGTGGGGTCGATTGTAAAATTTTTTATTTGACTATTTTTAACTAACAAAAAATCCAATATATTATTAGTATTAATTGACAGACGAGTAGAGTAGACTATCCTCTACTAGAAAAAAAATTAATACCTTATTTTAAATGTTATTATATTAGTTATTAACAATTTTTGACAGTCGTGCACTTGTTACAATTGTCCCCACTTACGGGGTCAATTGTAACAGTTCATAAATTCAACTAAAACATAGTTAATTATACATATTATCATAGTTGTGATATATTTTTTTATTGATCAAAATAGTAGTGATATTTTAGGAGTAAAAATAATAATGAGCAGAGACCTAAAGGGTTAAACTTTTAACTTTAAGGGGTTAAAAATTTTAATTTATGCTGTGAAAGGTGACAAATAAAATAATGCACATGCGACATAACATAAATGATATAGGAAACTATTGGTGGTTCTTAAAGAGTTAAGTAATGGTTTGTAAACATAGATTATTTTCAGCTGTTACAATCGTCCCCAAGACGCCATTTCAGCTTCATTTGTTAAAAACAATACTAGTTAATTAACAAAACTAATATTTTATTTGAAATGTTAATTAAGGTGTCCACTTGCATAATCGGTTAATAATTTTTATTTGTTTAAACAAAATTACATTGTTGCAATATAATATTCTCATACCAAAAAAAGTACTTACGTAGGGTGAAAATATCTTTTGTGAAGCAACTCTTTCAAAAGTAGATAAAAATGGTTGCCAGCAGGGGTGTACATGTAGATTTATTAAATACACCTTGTGTGCCACCGGAACCAAATCTAGAACCCGATACTCGAAATTTTTACTCTGTTACAATCGTACCCTGTTACAATTGACCCCACTCTCCCCAACCCTTAAGGATTTTTATGCTTTAAACTGCTTGTAAATATTAAACAAATTAGGAAGAATCAAACAGAAAACTATTTAACTTCATGTGGTTCTTTATTGTTTAAAAAATAATTTCTATATAGAATTATGACTGCGAATATGCCTTATGCGTTCTCTGAAACTTTTGAAGGCAAGAAAAAAAGTATCCGGGAATTATTATAATAATGGTAGTACTCCATGTTATTTTTTTAGCTCTCTGTTGAATCATCCACAAGGCCAATTTTTTGTACACTAAAAAAAACATGGTCGAAAGTACAAGAAAATGGTAAAATTTATCCCGTTTCTGGCTCTATATCACCAAGAGGATTAGTAATTTTTACCGAAGCGTTGTGATAGTTATTTTAGAATAATCAATAACACATCATGGCAGCCTTATTTGTGATAAAATTTAGTAAATGAGGTAAAATTTTGTAAATTTAACATTATACCATAAAGCATGCATAAAAACCATTTATTCGGTTAAATTTATTCTTCAGTTTTATATTTTTTCTGAATGCGTAGCAGTAAAAACTGTAATTTTAAAAACCGTAATTTCCGGTAAACCGTTACCATATGAACGGAGAAAGTACCAAATGAATGGTTTAAAAAATTTATAACTTGGCTTTATTTAGCAGAATCATGGTGGTTTTTTTTTATGGAAATGTCATTACCATACAGTGCGGTAATTTTGCGAGAATTTTTTCTCCGTGTCAAAACAAGTTATATCTTTCTTGTTTAAATATTGTAAAGTTTTTAGCTTATTTCTGCAGCCAACAAAAATCTTCAAATATTTAACAATTAAAAAAAAGGATATTATTTTAATAATGAGTTAATTGTATATAACTAACTCCTTAAGGACTGATGCCTGTGGTTCGTGTATGATGACGAAGTTCTGAGCAACCTGTGGGTTCAGTGAAACAGTTAAAGGGTTTCCACGAACTATTACTTTAGCTATATTAGTTATTTTAATTTAGAATTAGTTAGAATTTAGTTAGGATGACGAGTTAGTTATTTTGATCTAACCTATAATTTAGAATTTATATAATCTTTCTAAAGCCTTAGGGAAATTATTCCAAGTAAAATGCCAATGAAATAGGAATGGATTTGTTTAAAAGGAAAATATAATATTTCTCATGACAATATATTGAACAAATTATGAAAAGAACAAGCATTTATAAAATATCTTATTAGTATTTCCCTAGTCTTGCATATATTGGGGTTCAAATATTAGTACATCATGGTATTTCCTATTTTGTTTTTCAAATCAAAATATAGTAATTGAATTCCTTAATAAGGAAAAATGTTTTCTTAATAACCATTTTCAATGTTTATAGTAGTTCTTTTAAGTTTTTATCTCGAATTAATCCCTAATTCGGCTTATTTTATTCATTTCAGCGCATGTATGTACACCAAAAACAAATTTACAACGAGATACAAGAACGACAAATTTAAATGTCGGACATAAAATCTAATTCAAGATTATTTATGATTAAAGAATGAAAAATCTTCATTCCACTAATTCAATATTTTAAAAAAGGTCTACTGTAGGTTATAACCTTAATAAATCAAAAACTAATTACTTATGATTCTCTTTGTGTCATCGTGAGTGAAAACGTGGACAATTAAAACTTGTATAAAAAAAAAAATTCTGACTATTTAAAATTTTACATTACCTAAACTGTTTTATAAACGTTTTATGCATTACATTTATTTACTTTACTGCCTCGGGTAGCTTTTATGACAAGTCACAAAGTTTCGCCATTAACTTCATGAATTGTTACAAATTTAGAGTTTACCAATGGGATAGTCATTCTTAAGGGCCCGAGGGAATGTCATTATAGATTTATAGCAAAAGAGAATAAAGGTAATCCAAACTAGTGTGATCAAATAGAAATAATTATGATGAAACATATAGTGACAATCAATTACGATATCAACACAAAGTCAATCAGATCTAAATATTTAAATACATACTACGCAACGAAATGTTTAGAATTTGTAATTCCTTACACTCGATTAGTATACACTCGATACTAATGTACTTCAATTTAAATGTTTAATTCACAAAATCAATGTTTAAAAATAATTAATTCGTAACACAAATAGATTTAGCTTCTAATAATTAATTGCATTAATGTATTTGTATGATAATTCATGTTGTTTTGTTGATATAGACTTCATAACTTTTCATCGAGGTAATTTTAAATTCAAGAGCCATATTAATTATTTATAAATCGTCACATTATGAGAGGTTCGTTAGCGTGTTTAAAAGTTTTACTTTACATTAACAAATTTTGCGGTAAGCCCTGCTTTTCTTCTCCTTGAAAATGTTTAGTGATTTTGAAAATAATTTTTTGAAAATGACATTTTTTTTGCATGGAAAAAATTACAGTTTAAGAAGAATGGATTTTTGTATAAAACTGTTCTTATTTCTTTAAAAGATAAAATAAAAATTTTTTAGGAATAAAGGTTTAAAATAATTGCTCTTATACTTAGCTTTTAATAGTAATATATATTAACTTAACAATTATAAAGCATTTTCTAAAGTGTTAGAGTTTATTTTACATAAAAGAGAATTTTAAAGCATATTTTATTTTTTAATGAGGAATAAAAGGTCTTTTGTAAACATTCGTGGATTAACATCATGAAATTGAGGCATCTAGTGCCAACACTTAGTGCCTCCCGTCACCTTTTTAAAACTATTTGAGCAGAAGTACTTTTATATCCTGAGTCTACTATATATCTTCATTTAACAATTTTGTCCATAAACGCACTGCAAAAAATTAATACTCAAACCTCATGAATTTTTCGTTTTTTGACGAAACCATTTCCCGGCATATGATCCGAGAGAACATTCTGTCATAATGACGAAATTACTATCGCATCTTCTTCAACGAAATGTATTTCGTCAAAAGTAAAGAAATCTCTTGTCATTCCATTTTAATTTTTTTTAAAAAGTACGGGTGGCATTGTTGATTATTTTTTTCAAGGGAAACTTATATGTAAATCAACGTCACCCTGAAAACACAAGGACATATAGAACGCAGATATATATGAGATCTTTGCCTGATACGGGATCTTAACTCGGTATCTTCCTAGTGTGAGACTAACTCCTTGTCCAAAATACACTCGATCGGCATATGTCGTCATTCTAGTTTCGATCGAATAGTCCTCATTCTAGTTAACAATCTCTCACAATGCACTGTGATGTGGTTCGAAGTTAAGGAAGCCTTTTCGTATACGTTTAAAAGTTCGCGTTTCATCACAAATCTTGTGAGAAAAAAATGATTCTAAAATTTTATGAAAAACAGCTCAACGATTGCAGAATTGTTAAAAAGGAGAGTTTTATTTCTGAGAGTGCAACTTTATCAGTGATGGTCGGGAAAAGTTCTGATTTCAAACAGATTCAAATTTGTATATCGGCAGATAATTGCAATATGGATAAAAAAAAAATAGAATACTTTTGTTTTCTATATTTTACTCATGTTATATTTGCGATGCTAAAATACTCATTACATATTTCCTAGCTTTTAAAGTTTCTTTAATTTCTTAAACTTGCTTTTTTAATCATTCTTAACCAAATTTTAATTAAATAATAATAACCTGTCCCTTGGGGGAAATTCATTCACCTTCAATTTCCAATTTTTGGTGACTGGGGGTGCTCTTTTTGTCCAGTCCCAACCATTGAATATCAGAGAAATTCTCGTTCCCATTATTCTTAAACAGAAATTCTCGATTCGAAGATAACGATTTTTCTTGATTCCTTCAAGGTTTTTTTTAATTTTTATGTTTTGAATATGGCCATTTTTAATCTAATATTTACTTAATAAATCAGTTTTGCTTAAACGATTTTATTCATTTCTCTGAGATGATTATCCCTATATTACATCCAAATTAAGATGAATCTGTAACGGCCAAAATGTATGCTTAATACTACTGTAGCGGTTCACAATATTTAACGTAATATTATTATTTAAAACAGCAAAAAATCTAGTGACAACTTTTGAATTTACTTCTTTATTTCTCCTAGTTAAATCGCTCACTGAAGTGTAAGTAGTAGTTGCTCGCTTTCACTTCTTATTTTCATCAGTAGTGTGACTACCACAGTATGACGAGGTTACCGACCCAACATCACTCCCTACCAGTAACGAAGTTACGTTACTTTGAAAGCATGGTAGGTGTATAATACATACTTATGCAAATAAATCTGTATATAAATACAAATTATGTAAAAGAAGGAGGAAAACATAAAGAACTAAACATAACTTTTAAGTAAACATTTAAAGAAAAGTCTATAAAATCTTTAAATCGAACAGTCTTCGTCTTCCAGAACGTGTTCTTTTCTCAAGTTGCTCTACTTGTTTTTCTTTAATTGGAACTGGAACGAATACAAGATCATTTTCTGAAATTGGAGGTAGAGATTCATCAGGTTGCAACACATGCGCCGATTTTAGTCTATCTATGGAGATATTAACTTGTTTGTTTTTAATTAAAAGTAGAAAATATTTTGAGCTTCTTTGTAATACCGAAAAGGGTCCGTCATATGTGGGTTCAAGTGGTTTTTTTTTACTTTGCGATCTGGAGAAACGCATGCGAACATGCATGCAAATCTTTCGGGATGAAAATATTTTGCTTACATTTTAATTTGGATTGATAGGACTTCAAGAGTGCCATCTGATTTCGAAGATTATTAACAAAATTACATTAGATACTTGCAATTTATATTCTTCAAAAAACTCGCCTGGTAACTTAATAGTTTTGCCATAAGCCATTTCAGCTATTGTATACTTAGAGTCCTCGTGCATTGCAGACAAATTGTTGGTCCAGCGGAGAGAGTTATGACACCTAACAGCTGTTTTTAATGCACGGTGTAAGTGCTCGATTTTTCCATTACTTTGAGGATGGTAAGAAGTCGCATTATTTATCTTGACACCACATAATGAGACCAAATTTCAAAATAGTTCTGAAATAAACTGAGTTCCGTTGTCAGCAATAACGCGAGAAGGAACACCAAATCGGGCAATTCAATTTTCATAGAAAGTTCTTGCGATACTTTCAGCAGTGATATATGATAGAGGTACCACTTCCATCCAAGAGGTAAACCTCTCAATGCACATCAAATAGTAAATATATCCATTAGAAGGTGAATAAGAGCCAATTAATTCAATGTGAACTGCACTAAATCTTCTATCTGGTGCTTAAAATTGTGCTTATTCTGATTTTGTATGTTTTGTGATTTCATTTTTCTGACAGTCAATGCATGTTTGAGCCCACTGTGTAACATCTTTTTTTTTAATTTCTAGCAAAATGAATCCTTTAGTCATTCTTTTTACAGTACTGCGGATTCCAGGGATTGCCGTTCCAGGGATAAACCATAAATTGCACTAAACATTCTCATCCGAAAGTTTTTAGGTATGAATGGTCTAATATTTGGAGTAGAAATATCGCAATATAAGAGTTTTCCTGATTGCAGCTAATGTTGTTCAAATTTTAATGATTTGGAATTTAATTTCAACTGTTGCAGTTCATCATCATTAATTTGTGCAGGTCAAAATCAATAACAGGGGAATCGATGTCTTCTATTCTAGAAAACCCGTCTGCAACAACATTGTTTTGACCACTTATATAGCATAGGTTAGTAGAGAACTGTGAAACACATTGCAAATGTCTTAGCTGTCTTGGAGAGGCTTTATTATTCTTTTGTTTAAATGCAAATAGTAAGGGTTTGTGGTCGGTATATATTATGAAATCGTGACCTTCCAGTAAGTGTTTGAAACGTTTAATGGATAAGTATATACCCAAAAGTTCGCAGTCGTAAACGCTGTAATTTTTCTGGGCATCATTAAGCTTTTCGGAAAAAAATGCAATAGGTTTCCAACCATTTGGTTCTTTTTGTTGAATTAGTGATCCAATAGCCCAATCAGAAGCATCTGTGAGAAGTGCCAGAGAAGGGTAATCCAAATTGGGATAGGCCATTAACGCTACTTTAGCAATATCTTGTTTACATTTCTCAAAACTTTTTTTGGTTGCATCAGTTCACGGTACTTTGCGTCGATCCTTTTTTGTAGATCCTTTCAAAAGTTCATGCAGAGGTGCTTCAGTTTTTTACGTCATTCTTTATGCAATTTTGCTAGAAATTAACCATTGCTAAGAAAGAACGAAGCTCATGTATAGTATCTGACAAGTGATATTCTACAATAGCTTTAATTTTTTCAGGTAGAGGTTTTGACCCCTCAGCAGATATCTGATAACCTAAAAAGTCTATCTCAGGCACTCCCCAAACGGATTTACTAATATTAATTCGAAGACCATATTTATCTAAACGTTGAAAAACTGTTTCAAGATGTGAACGATGTTCTTCCTCGCAAGAAGAAGCGATCAACACATCATCCAAATATGGAAACACAAAGTCTAAGCCATAAAAAACTTCATTGATAAATCTTTGAAAGGTTGCTGGGGCGTTTTTTAGTCCAAAACTCATTACATTAAATTGGTAAAGTCCAAAAGGTGTGATGATGGCAGTTTTTTCTTTATCTTCGTCCGCTACAGGAATATGGAAATAAGCCTTAAAAAGGTCAATTTTAGAGAATATAGTTTTATGACTTAAAATATGTTGAAAATCTTGGATTCGAGGTATGGGATAACGATCAGGTACAGTTAAATCATTTAGCCTTCTATAATCGCCACACGGGCGGAAGGAACCGTCTTTTTTTGTTACTATATGTAATGGACTTGCCCATTCTGAACTAGAGGGACTAATGATGTTATTGTCCAGCATATATTTGAATTCTCTCTTTGCTATTTCCAACCGTTTAGGGTCTAATTGTCTAGCTTTACAATTTACAGGTTGTCCTTTAGTTACTATATGATGTTTCACATTATGTTTTACGGTAGAAATAAGAATATTCGGTTTTGTTATACTGGGATACATCGAAAACACGTCATTATATTTACTCAAGCTGTTTGTTGTATTTACACTTTCATTTATAGAGATGGATGCAATGTTACCATATACTGCAAGGTTCGTTACACCATCAATTAACCTTCTATGCTTTATATCAATCAATAAATTGAACTTGTTTAAGAAATCTGCTCCCAATATAGCTTTACTTATTTTTGCGACAACAAATGGGAATTGAAAATCACGGCGCAAACCAAGATCAAGAATCAAAATTTCTGTACCAAAAGTATCGATTTCGGTATTATTTGCTGCATATAATTTATAGTCACTAATAAGTTTGTGTTTGGAAGTATAAGGAATAAGGCTTACGCTTATTTTCACTCTTTTTAAAAGTGTTCAGAAGACGGTCTTTAGCAGCAGTATATTTCGTTTTACTATCGCCACTTATAATGTCCCACAAACTTTGGACAAATTTTGGTTCTAATTGGGAAGCTAAGTAATTAAATTTAGTTTTCTCGGCAGTGATTCCACAAATCGAAAACTGTGCTTCCACTTGGTAAAACCATATTTCGGGCTTCTCCGCCCAAAACGGGGGTATTTTAACACTTACCCGCGCTATTTCACCTTTTGCTGCCGATGGTTCAGAATCCGTCATTTTCGTTAATAATTCCGGGTTACCAGAATGTCGCTGCTTACAATATTTAATGTAATACTATTATTTAAAACTGCAAAAGAACAAGAGACAACTTTTGAATTTACATCTTTATTTCTCCCAGTTGAATTGCTCACTGAAGTGTAAGTAGTAGTTGTTCACTGGCACTTCTTATTTTCATCAGTTATGTTACTACCACAGTATGACAAGGTTACCTACCCGACATCATAATAATGCTACCTGAACTATAACTAAGAAATTAGATTGATGATCACCGCCTCCACAACATTCATATAGAAATTGTACTTTTAATTAAAAAAGAAACAAACGCAAGAGAATATTTTGGAATTTCCTTTCTTGTATCACTTGTTTTGTTTGTTTGTCTTGATGAAAAATCTTTTTCATTTCTCCATGGTTTATTAGATGCTGATAACAGTATTTAACAGGTTTTCGATATGATGACTTTCACAATAATTTGTCCCATAATCCAGTTATCTAGAAGCAGACAGGAGTATAAAACACACAAACCTAGCCAAATAAGACTAGTATCAAATCTGTCGTAGTTAATGTCACAGCTCATTAGCAGGATCTCGCACACTTTATACAATCTGACTGTAAATACACTATCGTTTAGACACTTCCGCTAAGAGTTCCATGGGATTTAACTCCTTCCATCTCACTCCCGTGAAAATGACGGGGTGAGGTTTCGCCCTCTGTTTCTCGATCCCGTGATATTGATGGACTGGAGTGTTCAGTAGTAACGCACCAATAAGAATAAAACTAATTAATTTCCTTTGCACGGAAAAATTTTTATTTCTCATTTCGCACACCAGATGGCAGCACCAGGATATTTTTAAGGTAATTGTAGATAGTTTATTTTAAACTAGATGACAGCACTAATCAAATACGCAAATACAAAAGCTAAAAAAATAGGCACTTTTATGACCGTTTTCTTGAAAATTAACCGATCGTTAAGGAGTTAAAGAATGTCTAATTACATAAAACTTATAAGAAGTTCGTAAATTTTGACATTTCACAGCATGCAAAACTTTAACATATTAAAATGATCTCTGTGCGAAGACACAACTGACATAACAACTAAGAATAAAAAATTTTAAATTAAAATTTGCACAAAATATTAAATATATGTTTAAAAATGGGAAATGTGTTCGTATGATCGTGCATGCATTAATGTGGGTAAAAATGTTAAACAGATATTTCTTTACCTCCTTTACTTTCACATATCAGGTACAACGTATCACCTTCATTGTATGAACGTATAACACCTTGAAGTGCTTTTCCTAGCTCATCTTTTATTTCTGGTTTACCAGGAGGAACTAGAAAATTAAAAGAAATAAATACATATTTAGAATAAATTACAATCAAAACTTAGTTTAAACTTCTCGAATGATCGGAGAGCAGATACTTCATGATTTTTATTTTCGAAGATTACCTATTCGTAGATAATATTTTGCAGTGCTATAAAACTTTTTTTAAGTGAAGAAAAATTAAATTTATAGTTATTTATATTCAGGTACTTAAATATGCAAAATGTAGTTTTGGTATATGAAAAAAAAACAGCAACAATAAACAAATTGCAATGTTTATTTAAAATAAAATAACAATGTATACATTTTGTTTTACGATTCAAGATTATGATTCCTATTTTACGATTACGATTCTTGCTTTGCACTACTGAAATTTATTGCATCAAACATCTAAATGAAGAGTCGTTCTGACATCGAAATGATTTTTTTCGTAGCACTCCATTAAAAATCGTATTGTCTAACCATAAAATTCACCATGGTAGTCGGTATATATACTCAGTGAATTCAGGAATGGTTAAAAAGAAAGTTCTCTGTAAAAGTATGGTCATAGCTCCTAGAATAAGGCAAAATGTAGCGTGTGTTTAGTTCTATGGGAACACAAGAAAACTTGGCAATTTTTACTAAGACTCTTCGCTAATAATTTTGGGAAAATTTACGATACAAGATGATTTTATAATCTGCGAAAAAATTTTGCAATAGTAGGTAATTATATAATGACACTTTAAAACAGCATTATTCTGTTAAACTTACATTTCAGTTTTGCAATTTTTTATAATTATATCGTAGTATGAACTATAATTTTGAAAACCAGAATTTCCGGAAAGCCGTTACCATTTTAACGGAAAAGTTATTTTAGTTAATGATTTGAATACCAGATATTTTGGTTTTATTGACCAGACTCATTGTTTTTTTGCCTGAAATGTAGTTACCATACGGTACGGAAATTTTACCAGTGTTTTTCCTTTGTGTAAGGAGGTTTTAAAATTTAAAGTTTAAAAGAGTAACCATCAGCAAAAAAAATATCTGAACTTAACATTGGTTTCTTTTGAAAAGATACAGTTTTTTTTATGTATTCCCATTGCAAAACTTGAGCAAATATGATGAAAAATAAAAGAATTGCTAGAAGTTTTTTGACACATAACTTTTTTCGAACTTGTCGACCGAAATAAAACCGAATAAAAATGCAGTTACGTGCTGTTTTTGCAAGAGAAAAAAGCTCATTCGAGAACTATTTTACGGCAGCTGAGGCCCCGCACATACTCTGTTGCTGTTTTATCTTTATTCTGGTCAGAAGAGGCCACATGAGACTCGTGTACATGATACACAAAAAACAAGAAGATACAGTTTGCGGTAAGGAATTTGATAGCTGCTACTTTATTTGTAGACGCATAAGCTGCATAAAGCCGCAGTAAGATTGCGAAAAAGATAGATCAATCTGATACTTAGAGCGTAAAAAGTAGAAGATATATGAGTACTTATAAAAATGTGCCAAAAATTTAAGGGAAAACAATTCACGCAAAATATTTTCTATAATTCATACCGAAATATGATATGTCAGATATGTGTTGTTAAAATTATCAACAAAAAAAAATTATTAATATTATGTGAGACGGGGAAAATTCTGAGCAATCCATTAAACTCAAGAATCAAAATTATTCATTGATAAGTAAGTAAGATTTCATGTAGAGTGCATCACAACAGAATAACTTTTGAACTAAGGATCAGATTTTAACGTCTCCATTATAATTTTATCAACTTAAAATACCGAATTCTTCAAATTACAAAATCATAAAGAAACCGTATTTCGTTAGCATAAGAATTTAATCTATGGATTTGAGTTTTTGACAATCGAAACATGGGGTCAGTCGTAGTCTGGTAAATGTTGGTAAATTTTCTTTTGATTCTATTTACAACTTACGCGTTTTTCGCAAAATTTCTAAAACTATTGCATGAATCATTAAATCTTACTGGGAGAAAAAAAAATTCTGGTAAAATTGCCGTACTGTATGCTAGTGACATTTCTGGTAAAAGAAAATCCATACTTCAGGTAAGAAAAACAAAACTATACGGTATTTAAGCTAACTCATTTGGAAAACCTTTTTGTTAACAGTGGTTTTCCGAAAATTCTGTTTATAAAATTATACTTCTTATTACCATACATTTAAGAAAAAATACAGAACTTAAAGGTAAACTTAACTTAGCAGATGGTTTTTATTATATGCCCTAAGGTATCATGATAAAATTATCAAATTTAATCACATTTAACAAATTTTATCACATATTATAAAACCATATTACATTGTTAATTTTACCAAAATCATTAACAAATTGCTTCGATAAAAATTATAGAGCTTCTTGATGTTCCCATAGATACAGAAACAAGCTAAAATTTACCATATTTAGCTCGTTTTGACCATACTTTATTCTCTGTTGAAATATGATTTTTATTATTTTAGTTATTTACATTACTTAATTAAAAATGATTGAAGGAGAGTTAAATATCAGGCATACAATATATATATATATATATTATTCTGCATTAAATAACAGTTTTAAAACTAGCATCTACAAAAAAATATGAGATNTATATATATATATAAAGCGTCACATAATTTTTTTCATTTCGCTTATTTTCGTAATAAAATTTGATTTCATAATAAATATTTTTGTTTGCATGAAAATAATATAAGATTATCATATTTTACATTAAGAGAATTTAAATCAATCGATGAAGGGGAATCAGTAATTGATAAAACTATTTGGATTAATAAGAGTAATAATGGATAATAAAATTAATTGATAAAATGGATTAATAAGATAAACTTATTTCTTTTGGCTTTGTTGTGAATAAACTCGCAATTTAACAAAATGCAAAGAATATTTATATTTTAAAATTCGAAATATTATCAGTAATCAATACGTTAAATGAACATCTTATATATTATAACACTTTAAAACTTTTATTGTTTACTGAGTCAAAATTTCGAAATTATTTTTAAGTTAATGTCTTTTTTAAAATTAAAATATAAAATATCACCAAAACAACGAAATTGATATATATTATAAATGTGAACTAAACAGCTTCTGAATATCAACTTGAAAGTATATGTTGCTAACAGTTTTTCATTTTATTTTTAAATCAATATTTAATTTAAGTTTTCCTTGAAAGATATTGATAGAAATGTCATTGAAAGAAGTTTATATGAACTTAAGATAATTTTGTTTTCGAGATTGGTTTATTCCCACTATGAATAAATGTTTTACTTCCCCTTGCTGTCTCACTAACATATATTCAAATTTCAAATGATTATATTAGATTCGATGCAGTATTTTTAATAATATCTATATTACTAGAACTAATTTTATTGCTTATATTATAAATGTCGAAAAAAAACTGAAGCATAAATTGTATTATTGTGCTTTTGCTTCTTTATGTATTAAATTTCTAATACATTTATTTATTTATTTATATATTTTTTTAAGATAAAATTGTTTTTGCAAACTAAGGCTGTATTTTCTAGGGCTGAACGATCTCAATGGTAAAATATTTTGGAAGAAATCTCATCACTTGCTTTCGCCCGAGTGGTTATGAGTAAATAAAAAATAGCGAGATAAAAAAGGTCGTTTTGAAATATAATTTTTTAAGCAATAAACTTCAGATTTTTTCTATTTTCTTGGTATCGTTTGTTTCTATGAGTTTTTGTGTTATTAGTATTTTTCCAATTAATATTCACGCATGATACGATGTTTTGATATTGTTCTGCTATATCATATAGTGTTAAGTTGACCTTGCATCACTAACCTTACATCAGAAAAGTCCTGGGTTCGAATCTCGGAAAAGACATAGATGTTCTTTCCTTCCCTGTACTATCTGTCCCTATTGTGGGAGCAACGTTGGCCCACCTAATGTGGTGCCCTTGAAAGAGTGGCAGATAAGAGTGGCTACACTACTAATATCTGAATGACGAGTGTCAATCGTGTGGTCAATGGCATAAAAAATATTGCTATGCTTACTCTTTGTATAAAGCGCGAAATTAAAAATAAGCAATTCTTAATAACAGTTGATGGAATGCTTCGATTTTAATGTAGTAAGATGAATGATTTTACTCAATGTTACTAAAATCGAATCTAATTAATTTGTCAATAACTCTGCTAAGTAAATAGTGAAAGCGATATATTATGTTAAAGATTCGGCAGAAAACACATATTTTCTCTGAATTAACTGGCCTTTTATCCAACGGATTTAGATTTTTGACTCACAAAATAAGGGGTCAAATGAAATCTACTAGTTTGTCGAGAGAGTTTTTAAGGATTGGTCCTTTGATGTTATATCATTTTTTGTATTTTTCTCAATATTACTAGAATACGTTTAGTTTTTAGAGTGAATCAAGAAAACATTCAAACGAATCAAAAACAGTTGTTAAGCATGTTTATTTAAAAAGAATTACGAAAACTAAAAAAAGTTAGACTAATACTTTTTAACCATTTCAGTTATTACTACTTGAAAAAATTTTGAATTGTGAAGTATACAAATTTTTACTACTTTTAAATGAATAATTTGTAGAAATAGAAACCTATAGAATTTGAGTGAAATTTTTTAATCAGTTGTTGCGAAATTTAAGAATTTCGTATGTTTAACTTTTGCTTTCTTGAAATTATTTGACCGATTCCATATTAGTATTCAAAAAATATATTTATCTTTTTCACTACTTTACGAAAATCGTAACAAAAATGTATATTTTTCCAGAATTAACACTCTTTCATTTGAGAGATTTAACTTTCTGTCTTTCAAAATATGGGAGGTAGCTTTTTCACAGCATGCATTGAATTTTAAGAGCTTTCCATCGCAAAATAAAAGATCGTACTCATGAAAACTACAAGTTTAATTAAAATATTAATAATTTAAATTTATTTAAATATATTTAAATTTATGCATTAAATTATTTATTTGCGTTTAATAAGTTATTTATTTAAATTTATAATTATATTTAATTAAATTATTAACAAAATTTAATTAAATTATTAACAAAATTTAATTAAATTATTAACAAAATTTAATTAAATTATTAAATAAATTATTTTCGTTAAACCTCAGAAGTAGAATAGCTTAGTTAACTATCAGTGTGGTCTTATACAATTTTAAAATTTGTCTCTATATTGCTTTTTTCTCATCTTCAATACACCTATTTTTTTGTAGTTAAAAATGACAGCATATTTCATGCATTCCCCTAATTACTATCTTTAATAGATATTTTTAAATTTTTTAACAAAATTCAAATCAAAAAAGTGTACTGATTAAAGACAGCAAATTAAATTTAAATCAGGAAAGCACATAAACTCTTTCAAAGTATAATAAATCAACAATCAAAAAGGTGAAATGTGAAGCATCAAAAATTTTTTTAACTTGGAGGCATTTCTAATATTCGATTTTTCAACTACTTTTTGTTTTTCCTAACAATCAAACAAATTTTAATGAGTTTAATTATGCATCATAGGTTGAAAACTACACAAATATTTGAGACCATTGGCAGCTGAAAAAAAAGAAGTTCATTAAATTATTCTGGCTCCAAAAAAAATATTCGTCATAAATATTTCAACAACAGGTTTTGAAAAAATAAATAATAAAAACAATTTCCGTTTTATTTGAGTTATATTGCACCCATTGTTAGCAGAATATCAAAATAATACTAGTAATTAGTAGTAGTAGAATTATTATTATTATGCTCTATTGCTGTTTTTATATGATAATGATGCTTATGTTTCAAAGAATAATAGATAAATTGTCAATATAATTCACATAAAAAATTTATTTTTAACAAAGTTTCCGTTAAATGTTATGTTTTAAATGCTTTCGATTATCTTTCATAGTTGCTCGATTCATTTTCAAAATTCCTCGTTTGCATAATAAAGTAATTGTCAGTTCACTTGATGAGTTATTTAATATTGCCAGATTTATAATATGAATGATATTGAAATATTTAAGCCATACTCACTTAAAACTTTGACGGCAATCTGATAATTCCGTGTTTGGGCTTTCCTGAAATCTACTCTACATCTATATTCTCCTTCATCTTCTGGGCTTATTCCGGAAATTTCCAGAACAGCTGGTCGAGGTACGGTGTTGAAATAGGCTCTACCAGTTAAGAAATCTTTGGACGAATGCCTCGCTTGCCCCACGTGACCTCTCCTGGCATCGAAGCTGTAGATTGGTGTTGCAATATCACCTTTGTACCATAGAACTAGATATACTTCATCTCCATCACTTGGTGAAATTATATCACAGGGAAGGGAAAGCTTTCCACCAGATAATACTGTGTGTCGTTCTTGTGGTTCTGTAAATTAATTCGTATAATTAATTAAAAATATCTAATTTATCGAAGAAAGCAAAAATTAAAAGTAATGTGTAGTCTGAGGAAAACTATATAAGTTACAAAGGATTTTTATCTTTTAAAGTTAAGAAAAACAAGTCGTTTTTTAAAATGTTTATAAGATTTATTACTTGGAGCCTGCATATATTACTAAAAATGGCAACTGGATGTCGGTTTTTTTGGTTCATGGAATTGTAATAAATTATATCAACGCAATGGACTCTTAAGTATATTGTATTATATATTATATTATATTACTTATTATATTATATCATTTATTATATTATATTATTTATTATATTATATTACTTATTAGATTTTATTACTTATTATATTGGCCGGGATAGTGTATTTGGTAGGGCGTTGAGCCTATGTCCACGAGGTCTTGGGTTCGATCCTCGCCGGCCGAAGATTCCCCGTGTAGTAAAGGCGCAAGTTAAATCTGTCAGGTTACACAGTCCTCTATGTTCCCATAATAAATCAATGCCTCCAGGGGTACTAATCGGTGATTGTACCCCTAATCGTTCTCTGGTTAAGTTCAAAATTAATATCTGTGTGTGAATGAATGGATGTATGAACGGGTCCGCCCTATAACAGGAAAATTAACTATTTATAATGTTTCGTCAAAATTAAAAATTTAAGAAGAATGCAAGAGGCATAGTAATAATCTTTTCAATGAAATTTTATTTATAAAACAACTGCTAATCTATGAAAATCGTGAGAATAATTTAAGAAAAAAGCATTCTGTATGGCTCATTGGAAACACAACATCGACAACAAGGTATTATGATGAAATAAATCTATGTCAAATCTTATCAGATGGTTTAGCTTGAATAACAGAATATACCATAAATGATCCAGGGAATATTCCCGGACTTTCTAGGATTACTATGGTAAGAGCAAGATTTACATTGCATTATCATGTACTATGCTATTAACATTGCGTTGGATTTACTCAAAATGTGAATTGAGGCTCATCTTAGTGCAGATTAACTTGCTATTTAAAATAAAGTCAAGTCATAATTATAATATATCAACAATATGTTTCGGCAGTTACTTTTCTTACAATTTACTTTAACTAAAATTAATATATTTTTTCTTTCTAATACTTTAAATAAAATGAAATTTATCTGTTTATTCCTTATTTTTTCTTTAATATAATGAATATAATGAAATTATTATATTATATTCTTAAATATTATGAAATATTATCTGTTAATTTATTCTTCAAATTATCAAGATGAAACTTTGTTAAAGATAATTATTTTTTGTAAATGTTTGAAAGGTTCGTTTATCGTTAAGNGTTGGATATGTATAGATATATATATATATATCAGGGTATAAATATTTCCTTCTACAGTTGATAAAACTTTTTTTGGCATAGCTTCAAAACCCTGTAACTGATTTGATGTACGCAAATTTTTATCTTCTATAGTGACACGTGACTGGTGGAAGTATCAAGCATGTCCTAACGTAATTTTCATTCGTTAAAAGATTTTCGAAAAGTTGATTGTGATTCTCCATTGTTTTTCTTTGATTTTGGAGTTAACTGCTCCCTACGCTGTCTATTGAAAAAAAAATGTGAATTAGAATTCTGCCAGTACAATTTATAACCGGGAATATACATTTGCTTTAAGCAAAAAATTACACTCCTTATCCTTTTTTTAATGTAAATTTTTAAAACGCTTTAGATTAACTTAGTATCATATCTTTATTTGTATTTTCCGCATAGTATTTCGTGCACCATTTGTTTCTTGTGCACCAAAGAAATTTCCAATTAGCTATTAAAAAATTTTTTTGGATATCTCTTCCCAGTAGTAAGAAGAAGTAGTTGCTTGAAAATGACAGATTTTCACAGTGAGTTTTATTAAATTTTTTATTTGTTCCTGTTTCAAAAAGTTGGTACATTTTTAATTGTCAATTTTATCCGATTATATTAGCATTTAAGTTTTAAATTCCCCTGCAAAAAAAGACATTGAAACTGGCTAGAGCTTCTGATCTTAATTCCGTTTTTTTTTCGGTTTTTATTTAATCTTCTTACTATTTATATGTTTTTCTGTATTTGCATTTTTAATTGGTTAAATAATATTTTTATTTTTTATTTATTTAAATTTATTGATTATTTTTTTATTTATTTTTATTTTTTGTATTAAAAATCCTTTGAAATTATTTTTTTAATTCTCTTTGTGTAATTATGTGTATATATAAACATGAAATATTCATCTTTTCGTTTTAAAAACTACGATTAAAATGCATGATCAAACTCAAACAATAAAAAAAATATTTTTTTCTTCAAATGAAGAAATAGAAAAGAAAAAAAAATACTGAAAATATCAAATTCAAAAAGCTTTCCTTAGTAAATAAAAGATAATGTCAGAAGTTCAATTATGGCTGACGTGCCCATCCTTTACTATTAAATTCCTACAGTTATATTTTTATTTAAAGAAAAGTAAAAGAAAAAGGAACGAAATTATTCATTTGCTCTCATTTCAATTTTTTTAGCTGAAAACTGTAATAGGAAGGAGCGAAAATCGCTTTTTGAGTGATGAAAAAAACATATTATGCGTCATTAATTTTATCACAGTGAGGTAATGAATAGCATTTATTAAGATTCTTTTTTTTTATTTATCAGAAGACAGTAATTAAAATAGATTTTTTTGTGTATTTGCATTGGAAATCGTTACTGGCGCGAAAAGTAAAATGAAAAAAAAAGCTTAAATAATAGATAATAATGCTAGGAAAATAGCCTACATATCCGGGATTCTTAAATTACAAAAATGTAAAGGAATATTGTTTGCTTTATTAATGGTTTTAAGTAACAAATTAGCGACTTAAGAAGGATCAACACTTTTTAAGACCTTAATGATTAAACTGGTATTTTCATTTTTATTAATAAAATTAAGATTTTGTTTGTTCGAATCTGTGCTCCTCCAGATCCATCTGTTCTATCTTCCTGAAAAATAGGCAGTGCATGCAAGGGGTGAGTTTAGACCTCAATCTGAAAATTCTTAAAAAAATTTCAATTATGTTCTTGCTCTTCAAGAAGAAGAAATCACAGATACCACACTTGTGGTCTATGACGTCAGTACCACCTGATGACGCTTTTATAAGCAAAATGGCGTGTTAATGTTGAGCCAAGTTTCGCAGCATAAGTTAGATTGTTAATTAACGGGAAATTATTTAAGTACTGTGCTGTATCGCATATCGAATTCGTTAAAAGATAATTCTTTTTCGTCTACGTCATTTATTTGTATTCATTTATTTATTGTAACAGTGATATATTTTGGTTTCGTGTACCTAAAAACTTCAATGTATAATTAGTTTGCTTATGTTCTACATGGCTTCGCGCCAGTTGAACATAAACGTTTGTGATAAGTTGGATATGTATAGTGAAAAATTTGAAATCTCTGCGAAACTATCTTTATGAAAGAACGTAGTGTCACTTTACTGTGCCACAAAGACTGTGTCACTTTAAAGAATTGATATTCTCGGGTTTAGCTTACACGAAATAGAATGGAATGAACACTTGTTAACGTAAATAAATACCACATCTTAACAGCCAATCAGTCATCACCAAAGAGTTTTGTTAAAAATTACCGTGCTTTTTGGGGTTTCCATAGAGCCAGAAGCACTCTAAACTTTACCATATTCTTGTAGTTTTGACTGTATTTTTTAGTCCCGCAGTGGACTGATCGTTAAGACACTGTTCCCAGCGGATCACCGAAGTCAAGCATCACTGGCTACGGTCAGTGTGTGAGTGGGTGACCACTTAGATCAGCCTGCGTAGGGACCGAGGGTGTGCGGTATTGGTCCTCGTTAAACTGTTCTACCGTAAAGTGATAGACTTCGCGTGCAGGTGGTCGGGCTACCGAAGCTGGGGTGCCATCCCCTCTGCAGATGATTAAAATTGTGATGGCATGTCTTCGGATCATCCTCAGGGATGTTTCCCAGACCGTCGCCAATAGCCCATTGTGCAGCTCTAGTGCGACGTAAATGAACAACAACAACGACTGTATTTTTTACTCAGTGAAGGATAGTATATTATTTAGATACTTATGTTGTCAGTTTTAAGTAAAATGTAAATTAATTATGATCATTTTAAAAACATTCTTTAATAAGTTGAAAATTAAAACTTTATTTATCAAAATTCTAATTAAAGCTCTTACAGATTGAATCAAAGTTTCTGCTTCTGCACTAGACGACGAATTTAATTTATAGTTATTACTCTATTAATAATTACGGATTTCAAGTTCGTAAAATTTACCGACCAGGTAATAAATACGTTCCATGATATGATGTTATTAATTGGGCACTTGCATTTCAAGAGGAAGAAGGTCACTGGTACCCAAACACGTGACCTATGACGTCAGCGCCAGCTGAACGTTTATAAGTAAAATGACGTATTTAAATTGAGCTAAGTTTCTCCACACAAGTTAGAATGTTAATTAATAGGAAGTTAATTAAATACTATGCCGAATCACACATCAAATTACTTGAAATAGAATTCTTTCTCGTCCACTTCTTTTACTTAACTTAGATTTATTATTTGTTTATGCATTTTATTGTAACAGTGATATATTTTGGTCTTATTTACCTAGCAACTTTGATGAATAATCAGTTTGTTTATATTGTACATGACTTCGTGCCTGTATTTGTGTTAATTTAAGTAATAAATATATAGTGTAAGAATAAAAATCTTTATGAAAGAGTATGGAATGCGACATTAAAGGGAATTGATAATTGACGGGCTTGGCTTTCTCGAAATAGAATGGAAAGAACAATTTCTAACCTAAACAAATGCCACATTTAATCAAACAATCAGGATCGAGATACCCGAAATACTTCACTTGCAGGTATCCAATTATATACATATCTTATTTCTCCTAAACACCTTGAAGGGAGGGCTTATATCAATAATGTTAAAAACTGACCTTTTTCGATACATCATTTCTAACAAACTACTT